TCAGTGAATTTAAGAATCAAAGAATGAGGACCTTGAGGTAAAGCTATTTGTTAGTGAAATTATGGGCAATGACAGGTGATGTAGGAAGTCCTTCTGTATATGTGTTGCTTTTATTGGTTAATGAATAAAGAATCTGCATTGGCCTGTAGTAGGTGGGAGTAGAGCTAGGTGGGAAAAACTAAAGTGAAGGCTAGGAGAAAAAAGGCTGACTCCCAATGCACCAGAACCTTGCCCGTAAACCACGAGCCTCGTGGTAAAATATAAAATAATGGAAATGGGTTAATACTAGATGTAAGAGCTAGCTAGCAATACGCTTAAGTGATTGGCCAAGCAGCGGTTTAAATAATACAGTTTCTGAGTGATTATTTTGGGTTCGGGCAGCCAGGAACAAACAAGCAGCCTCCTCCAACAGACAAGTACTAGAATATGTTCATGGAAGAAAATGACTAAGGTTTGCCAGATGTATTGACTATTCTAGACAAGGAGTCAAGGAATTCAGGATCCACAAATGTTTCATTTCTATTCGAAAGAGAAAAACGAGGGTCAGCGAGGCTACCTGACCTCTTCAGAGGCACGTAGCTAGGTAATGAGAATGCCAGCGCTAGAAATTAAGATTTCTAAGTCCCCATTGACCATCTTTCTACTGTTTCTACTTTCAAAACAAGTTCAGCTCAGCCACACCCCAGACCTTTTTTGGTCTTCCTGTACCAAAGAAAGTCCAGGAAAGCCACATAGATAACTTAAGGACCACCCATTCTTGGGATATGTTGTCATCTGATACAAACTATTTTTACCATATTTTCCTCTGAGCTCACAAAGCTAGATTTCCATTTCCAAATCATTCTTAAAATCAAGTATCCTGTTGGGCAAGTGTTATCTGCAGAGGAGTAACGCGGTGAAGTAGGGCAGCGAGAACAAAATTTCCCTGCTTTCCGTCTCTGTGTATTTTTGTTGGCTTGGAACCTACGAGTGGAAATTCCAAGACTTCCATATCAAAAATTGTACAAGCTAGATTGTCATTTGCCACATTATAGCTAAAAGAAGGCTTCGGGAGAATATCCTGTTTTTGATACCTTTGTGCCGGGATAGATAGGACAAATACCAAGTGAGTAAGACATTTCAAAGGGAAATTGTAACCGAAATATTACATTGCCCTAATAGAGACACAAAGTATCTAACTTCCCCCTGTCCGGTTTTCAAGAATCTTAAAAGGCAATAAATAAAAAGTGATTGGACAGACTCTTTCATATAGAAATGAAAATAATGTATTCTAAAAGATCTTTCCATGTAAAGGACCCTGACACCTACACATCAGTGGTCCCCGTCATCTCTACCTTCTGAGGCTGTGGCCATCATAAGCCACACAGAAACTTCCAAATCTCTCATGGCTCTGCAGGAAAAAAAATCTAGAATTTTCTCTTCATTTTAGTGCTAAATATTTTTTTCAGGAAATGACTGTAACACACTGAGGCGACCTCCCTTCTAGATTAGCAAACTAGACAGAAGTTAGAAGTAATTGCATAGCATGACTTATTTCAATTTAGTGAATGTAGGAAGATGATTGTGAAGGTCGCCTGAATGGAAATCCAAGATGACAAATGAGGTATTGTGGGAGAAGGTCCTGTGGTTCTTAGTCATAGGGGTGTTCAGGAGGGAGTGCTCGCATCTATAAATTATTATTCCTCAGACTGTGCTGCTGTCTGGAGATGATTCCTTCTTAAGAAATAAGTCAGATTAGATTCCAAATAATTGCCATGGGAACATCATCATTCTTGCTTACACCCTGACTGCTTTCTTGACTGGAAGGAAAGAGGTGGGGTTAGAGCCAGCTCTGGAAATTACTGATAATCTTCAGTCTATCTTATCTAGGGCACAGAGGGGGAGCGAAGGGATGGATGTGCTGCTAATTCCCGTGGTTGTGGCAGCTAGAGGGGAAAGGACTGCAATGATGCCCCTGTCACCATCTCCACAAAACATGCACGTGCTTCACCCCAAACTGGATGTGTGAGTATGGATGCCATTCGTCCCACACATTGGGGTGGGAAATTGACCTTTCTGATGGAGCTTGGTCCCACCAGATGCAAAGGCAGACTGAACCAGGCAGTCTTTCCACTTAACTCTACAATACTGGGACAGCTGCCCTGAGGGTTTCATGCCAAATTAAAATAAATATGATTAGTTCTTTCTATGTCATCAGGGAAAAAACAACACATGATCGTTTTGATAAGATATAAAAATAATTCCTTAAGAAATAGAATCACAAAGAGAACAAAACAGATACTGGTAAGTGTGTGCAATATTTGTTTCATGAAAGGAAAGTGATGTCCTGTAAGTACAACCCATCCTTTTGCCGTGGCACTTACTAAAGCTGCCATTTCTCCATGCTTTCGCCATGGGGGATATGGCCATTTTCTGAATGTGAACAGCAAGGAGGGTGTTTTCTGGTTTTCTGGTTTCAGATGATTGGGGGAAACAAATCGTAGACACCCATTTCCATTATAATCAACCTCAGGCAAGTTGTTCTGCCAACATTTTGGTTTTCTTAATAATATCCATTTGCCATCTCAGGGTTGCATAAAGTAATACATATGAAGTCAGTGGTGCAATGCATTATAAACAGAAAGTATCCAACAAATGTCAGCTGCTCTTGACACAAAGAGACTCTAACCCTAGCCAGTGTCTGAACCCTTCATCTCCTGCATTTTGCTGTAAAAATCCATGAAGTACTGTCCAAAAAAAAATACCTTTTTTATTAATTTAGGCCAATTTTGTGAACCAAGTTTTCTACCAGGAGCATACAGCCTTTGACACTGGGGCGTGAGGTTATGAACCATATAACTCTATCCTGGGATGTTCGGTCTGCTTGAGTCATGGTGGCAAAACCAGAGGAGAAGTTTAACAACTGTGTGTAAGCTTTCCCTGGTGTCCATTTCATGTGTTGCTCTTTTTCTCTTCCATGTGGTGATTATTACCAGAAAGCAGACCCTTCTGGTAAAAGAACAGAGTCTCTACACTGTCTCGCAGCCTACCCATTATGTGGTCTAACCTGGGTACACGACGGACATGGATAGATCACTGCCTGATGCTGAGCAATCAGTGTTCTAGAAGAGGGGTCCTCCAGTTGGTGTTCTTCAGCACCAACCAAGAATGTGTTACAGGTACAAATTCTCAGATGCCACCCCAGATACACTGGAACAACAATTCTGGAGAGGTGTCCAGAAATTTCTCGGTTCGGATGCTATTAAAGTATGAACAAATCATTCTTTGAGAACACCCACCACCGCCACCCCATCACCCACAGAAAAGTTCCCTTTACTTCCTACAGGAAGGAAGTAGAAAGGTGTTGGCATGATCCGCCTTGATTCTTTGAATGTGGTCTCTGTGTATATTACCAGCTCTGCGCAAGAGAAAAAAGCATCGTAGATGAGTCATGTCAAAATAGTGTTTACATCCCTGCTCCAGTCTGAGGGGAACTGCTGGTAATAAGGTCAGAATATTTGTTAGGTTTGTTTGCTTTGCTGCTTTGTCTTAAGTATGAGGTTATAGTTGATATCAGCATCATACTTTACAGGTGAAAAAGAGGAAAAGCCTCGGAGAGTTGCCAAGGGAGGCACGGTGAGCTTGCTGTGAGCTGTGCTGACTGTAGCCATCTTCTCTGCTCTTGTATGACATCGCAAACTTGTTCTATCCAACAGTGGAAAAGGATTGAAGTAGGGGTTTTTTAATCTCTCTCCCTCTTTCTCAGTGTGTGTGTGTGTGTGTGTGTGTGTGTGTGTGTGTGTGTGTGTGTAGGGGTGAGCGATGTGAGCACACAAACACACTCAGTTGTGAAAGTGTAGGAGTGTACATGCCAATGCGCATGCGTGAGGTCAAGAGACAGCTGTGGTTGTCAGTCTTCATTTTCCAACTTGTGTGAGAGAGGGGTTTGTTGATGCTCACTGATATGTACAGGAAGTCAGCTGCTCAGCAAGCTTCCTAGGATGCTTTGGATTCACTGAGGTTCCAGATGCACGCCACTACATCTGGCTTTACCTGTGTTCTGGGAAATCTACCTCAGGACTTCGCCTTGCATCACAAATGCTTTACCTTCTGAGTCATCTCCCCAGCTCAGGGCTATGCTTCCAGCAATACATTTCCTACAGGCTGTCATTTTTTCCTTTGTGAGTGAGGCCAATGATACGGGCGTACAAGTTCCTCATTGACTTGTGAAACTTGGGGCCTCCTTTAACTAGGGTACACTAGAGATAGTACTTCTGCCTTAAAATTAAAGGCTGACTAGTGTCTATAAGTTACTGGCACAGGCCTTCAAGGTAAATTTCTGAGCTGACAAGCTCTTGAGTTCTATTAAGACAAGGGCAATACAACTTTTAACCTCTAGTCCTATATCAGACACACCGAAAGATCGCCAATAAAATAACCCTGGGCTTGTACAAAGAAGGTCACTTTCAAATCTGCTAGGAAAAAAAAGTTAAGATTTTTTTTTGAGGTAGATTCCTCAAAAATACTGCATAAATACTCTCAGAGCTGAGGCAGCCATCTTTTGAATTCATATGGTCATTCCATCTGCATTGTCTTTTTTTTAAGGCTCTGGATGAAGTCCTTTCATCTTTTGATACGGTCACAAGATGGGTATGCAGTGGTATGCATACCCAGTGGGTATGCAGCAATGCCTCTCTTATCTGCTTGAGGTTCTCAACCCTGGAGAAAGCATGACCATCATTCCCGACATTCTTACACAGACATCCCAGTCATTAACAAGGACGCCAATTTAGATAACGAACCAAAGACTGCTTGCGAAGGGGAATACACACAATTTTAGTCATGATGAGAGAAGTGGTTAATTTCAACTTAGGAAGAGGGTGGACAGTCCTCTGAAGGATCCTGAGATGTGAGGATTTGTACTAAACATTTGTCTTTGTATTGAGACTTAAAACTGTGGGTCCTTACCTAAGAGAAAGTTTCAGCCCTAGCCTACCCATTCTGTGATTTTTCTTTTTCAGGACAGTGCCTGCCATGACACTTCAGACCCTAGAGACAATGGTGGCATCACAGGTACTTGGTCAAATGCCTTTACAAAGCTCAGAAAACAAGAATTAAGAAGCATGCAGGCAATAAAATTGAATAGGACTTTACTAAGATACTTTTCTTGGGTTTCTCAATTGCCACAATATTTTCAATTTTTTCGAAAGGAATAAAACATATTCTAAGGGAGTTGATTTTGGCAGAATACTAGGTTGTAATTACTTTTGTAAAGCAAGTAACCTTTCATGTCTAGAATAATGATCAGCCCTGTGGCCTTCGGATGGGTAGATGGATGCACAGCTGGTGTCCACTTCAAAAACAATTATGCTATTATTAATCTTAGACTGTAAAGCAACTGCCATGAAGCTTTAGAATGCTGTCTTCCAATTGCCCTTATACACTACTCTCCCACAATTCTGCAATGGTCCCTGTATTTCAACTTCAGCATTTTTTAAAGTGGAGTGACGGGCGAGGATCAGGTATACATCACCGAGAAAGCACACAGGGATATTGAGATCTCTTGAGGAGGTTCCAGGCAAGGGAATGGATATGTGCTTAGCAGCGTGGATCTTAAACATGGACTCAAGCCAGAGGATTTGAAAATGGAATGAAATGTAATATAAACACATACTAAACAATATGCCCTCTGAAAGAACAAGTATACAAAAACCGACAAATTTGACACATTAGAAGGGCTAGGATGCAAACAAGAGGTGGAAATAAGATGGGAAATTTAAAAATAGAAAGTTTGTGGTAAAGTATTGGTTACAAGTATGAGGACATAATGGGGATGAGAAGGTAACAAAAGATTTCAGTTTTTAAATGATTTTGTTGAGCTCCACATTTTTCTCTGCTCCCTTCCATTCCTCTCCCCTCCCCTTCAACCCGCTCCAAATTTACTCAGGAGATCCTGTCTTTTTCTACTTCCCATGTAGATTACATCTGTGTAAGTCTCTCTTAGGGCCCTCATTGTTGTCTAAGTTCTCTGAGATTATGAATTGTAGGCTGGTTTTCTTTGCTTTGTGTTTAAAAGCCACTTATGAGTAAGTACATATGATATTTGTCTTTCTGAGTCTGGGTTAACTCACTCAAAATGATGTTTTCTAGCTCCATCCATTTGCATGCAAATTTCAAGATGTCATTATTTTTTGCGGCTGTGTAGTACTCCATTGTGTAAATGTAGCACAATTTCCTTATCCGTTCTTTGGTTGAGGGGCATTTAGGTTGTTTCCATGTTCTGGCTATGACAAACAATGCTGCTATGAACATAGTTGAGCACATGTCCTTATGGTATGATTGAGCATTCTTTGGGTATATACCCAAAAGTGATGTTGTTGGGTCTTGAGGAAGGTTGTTTCCTAATTTTCTGAGAAATCGTCACACTGATTTCTAAAGCTGCTGTACCAGCTTGCATTCCCACCAACTATGCAGAAGTGTTCCCTTTCCCCACAACCTCTCTAGCATAAGCTGTCATCTGTGCTTTTGATCTTGGCCATTCTTACAGGTATAAGGTAGAATCACAGAATTGTCTTGATTTGCATTTCTCTGATGACTAAGGATGTTGAACATTTTCTTAAGTGTCTTTCAGCCATTTTAGATTCCTCTGTTGAGAGTTCTATGTTTAGGACTGTATTGCATTTTTTATTGGATTATTTGTTCTTCTGATGACCAATTTCTTGAGTTACCTGTATATTTTGAAGATCAGACCTCTGTCTGATGTGGGGTTAAATGAAGATCTTTTCCCATTCTGTAGGCTGTCGTTTTGTCTTGTTGACCGTGTCCTTTGCTTTACAGAAGCTTCTCAGTTTCAGGAGGTATCATTTATTGTTCTTTTAAAAAAGATATGATGATGGGATGCCCCGGGCAGCCTGCAAGCCAGGCAGAGGCTGCCGCCAGAGCAGTGCAGGGTCGCTGGGCGAGCGGCAGAATCAGGCGGCTGGTTGCGGTGGACGGCAGAGTAAATGAACATAAGGCTATACATAAAGCTAAACATTTATTACTTAAAGAAAGGGAGACATAGACAAACATAAAGAGAGACAGAAAACACATGTGCACACGGCAAGAGATGGACAGAAAAAGGGGAAAGCCAAGATGGCGACGAGGTTAGAAGTGGCTGAAAGTGGGCGTGGTTAGCTCTTAAAGTGACCCAAAAGAATAGCATCATTTATTAATTGTTTCTCTCAGTGTCTGTGCTGCTGGGGTTATATTTACGGAAGTGATCTCCTGTACCAATGCATCCAAGTGTACTTCCCACTTTCTCTTCTATGAGGTTCAGTGTGGTTGGCTTTATGTTTAGGTCTTTGATCCATTTGGACTTGAGTTTTGTGCATGGCAATAGATATGGATCTATTTTCACTCCTCTACATGTTGATATCTAGTTATGCCATTTGTTAAATATGCTTTTTTTCCATTTTACAGTTTTTTGTTTCTTTGTCAAAAATCAGGTGTCCATAGGTGTGTGGATTGATATCTGGTTCTTCGATTCAGTTCCATTAGTCCTCCTGTCTGTTTTTAATGCCAATATCAGGCTGCTTTCAGTACTGTAGCTCTGTAGTAGAGTTTGAAGTCAGGGATTGTGATGCCTCCAGAAGTTCCTTTATTTTTTCATATAAAGTTGAGTACCATTCTTTGCTGAGATTTTGATGGGCATTGCATTGAATCTGTAGATTGCTTTTGATAAGATTGCCATTTTTACTATATTAATTCTACCTATCCAAGGACATGGGAGATCTTTTCATTTTCTGGCATCTTCTTCAATTTCTTTCTTCAAAGATTTAAAATTCTTGTCATAGAGATCTTTCACCTGTTTAGTTAGAGCTACTTCCTAAGGAAGGGAGGGAGGGAGGGGAGAAGGAGGAGCGAAGGAAGACAAAGAAGGAAAGGAAAGAAAAAGAACAGGAATGGTAGTGTAGACTTATAAAATCATCCTGGGTAGGCAAAGACTAGTGGATGCCTGTGCTCATTGGCCAGTCCACCTAGCCTATTTATAGAGCACATGCATGCGCGCGCGCACACACACACACACACACACACACACACACACGCACGCACGCACACATGCACACTCATTAAAACAATAAGATTATGAAATAAAGCAATGCAAGGTCTTTCTTCAGCCAGGGGTGAGTGACGACAATGCGGCATGAGCCAAGAGAACCATTATCTCTGTCTTCTCATTCCGGTGTCCAGAAGGGAAAGAAACGTATCACAAAAATGGTGTTTGTTAAGATTACTGTTGCCTCCCACTGCAGGCTCTTCATCCCTTTCTTTCAGGCTTCATTGATGGATTCTCCTTCCTCTGATCTTTATTCAATGAATGCACGTCTTCCATTAGAGAAACCGAAATGAATAACTCATTTACATTAAGTTATTTGAATCCCATTGTCTTATTCATCCTAATGCCAGTTTTTTTTTTAATTGCCTAAGAGAAATGCTTAAAATAAAGAATTCTCCCCTCAGGGCAGGATTTAAGTATGGCAAATGGGTGAACTATCTAGGAGCATGCATGTCCTCCACCACGGCCAGTTCAGACACCAAGGACCCTCAACAGCAGTGACTGTTGACTGAAAATTCGCACAGGGTGTTACATAAGGAAAGACCGAAACTTGTGGATGGGTTGGGTGATTGTTCTCCTGTCTCTCTGAACATTGACTTGAATTCAGTCCCCAAGTCTAGGAGGTCCTTCTACCATCTCCCCAACTATACACGGATTATCAGTGACTTATTAATTAACTCCTTTGAGATGTGAGCCTAGAAAGAAAAGGAGAAATGAGGCACAGCTGGAAGACTCAAATAACCAGGCTTTGAGATGGGGAGGAGGCAACACAAAAGATTGATGGAGGTAAAATAAGGGTGACTGAGGCACCGGCCAGGGAAATCTCCACAGGAGTGGGCACACATCATCCAACTCTGCTCCCTAAGGAGCGGAAGGAGTTACAGCCGGCTCTCTATTATGTCTTAACAAAAGGGCAGGTGTTGGTAGGTGTGCTGCGGAGGAGGTTCTTATTCCGTGGATTGTGTTTAACCTGTCACCTTGTCATCTGTCTTTTGTGTTTCTTCCGTGCCTCCTGTAACATTTTCACCCTGTTCTACTGACTTCTTTGTTCCAGGAAACGTTGAGGGTCATCAAGATTTCAGAGACAATGCGAAGACACTGTCATTTTGTCAGGAAGATCAGTCACGGATGACAGGTGTCCTCCGCCATCTGGAAACTTCTTTGTGAAGGTAGAGTGCTGCAGAGAGCCTCTGTTCTCGGCTCCGGGATCCTGTATGGCAGTGACAGAATGGAGCATCCAGGCTGGTCAGAGGAAGTTTCTTCCAAACAGTGTACAAGGAAGATAGTGATCTACGAGAACTTTGCTACCTCCCATGCTTTTGCTTGTTTACTTGGTGCTCAAGCATTTTTATAGTCTTTTAGCCAGCATGCTTTGTGGCTTCCCAGAAAGACACAGATAAAGTTGTCAGTTACTCAAAAATAAAGAACAAAACCATCTTTAAGGCACTATTATTTCTGGTAACTTGCACTGAGTGTTTGTCCATAATGTCTTGCATTTAAGTTCTTTTGTGTTCAAGTAAGAATGAAAACCTGAGTGTGTGTGTGCGTGCGTGTGTGTGTGTGTATGTGTGTGTGTGTATTCCTGAAGCTTAGCGTTATCAGAGATACATAGAAATGTGTGCACACAGCAAGATGTTTTCTGTGATGTGAGTCAGTCCCAGCTAGTATTAGATACAAAAAGCAGAGAAAGCATGCTTTCTCCATGTAATTACTGAGGGAATACTGCAGTGATTTATGGAGCCCCAGGGAAGAATTTTACATATGAATAATATTCCAAAATAATAAGAGCAGCTGTTAGTCATGATTCGGGCTTCTTTGCCATCTTGGGAAACAATTGAGATAGCCATATTTTTTTTCGGTTAAAAGTATGTTAACTCTGGTGCATGAAACCAAAATCAAAGATTCTAATCTTACTATTCAAAGCATAATCTTACCTGGTTCTTTTTTCTCAGACAGATATGTCAGAAAAGAAAAGAATTTTACAAAAAAAGTCCTATAATCTAACCAACAACATCATCTTACAATTTTATTTTATTACTTTAATGACTTCTTAAATTAAAAAAATTAAATCTACATTTATAATGTGCTGATATAATAGCAAATGCTGGGCTGCTGGATTCCCTCTGTGCAAGCTTACTGTCCCCACCATTGTGTGCTAGAGAAGAAGATGGGGCCACAATACTATGGACCTGAAGGGTCATGAAGGGAGGCAGCTGGGTTGTGGGTAATGGAAGTGATGGGAGGGAGCAAAGAGGGAAGCTATCAGTCCTTGGCTGAGGTTGGAAAACAGGCCGGGATTTGGGTCTGTGCTGCATTCTCCCCATCTTAGCAGCTTTTAAGGGCTGTGCTTGTTTTCTGTGTCACCTCTGCAGAGCAGATGAACAAAACCGTGTTGATGAAGTTCTGATCAGGAATGGCATGGGACCACAGGGCAGTGTCCAGTTAAGGGAAAAGGTAACTTAGGGGCAGGCAGAACAGAACACTAACTCCTGAGCATCCGTTCTGTGTCTTTCCATTCTTTCTTTTGAGATGCTAAGGTGGGAAGTAGTTCCATCATTTGTCCACTTGAACTGAATAAATTATTGTTGGGGGAGGGCCCACTTGTTCATCCTAGCTGCTCAGACCCAAAATAATCACACAGAAACTGTATTAATTAAAACACCGCTTGGCCCATTAGCTCTAACTTCTTATGGCTAACTCTAACATATTAATTTAATCCATCTTCATTAATCTGTAAATTGCCACGTGGCAGTGGCTTTGGGGCAAAGATTTGGCATGTCTGACTCTGGCTGCAGCTCCCTGACTCCACCCTTCTTTCTCCCAGCATTCACTCTAGTCCTCCCTGCCTATCTAAGTTCTGCCCTATCAACAGACCAAGGCATTTTCTTTATTCATTAATGATAATCACAGCACACAGAGGGAACTCCCACATCAGTGGTTCCATCATTTGTCCACTTGGACAGAATAAATTATGTTCCCAAGAATAATTCCTTTCCAGTTGGAGTTAAGGACTCTTTGTCTTCCTTTTCTTTACTTTTTGTATTACTAGAGAAAGATGTGAAACAGGATTTAAATTATCAGCAGCAGCATTGCTGGCCTTTGAGAATGAAGGCATGACTAGGAACATTGGGAATACACTCTGTCTTATGTGGGCATCCTTCATAGGCAGGCAACTGATCAAGCTTCATCTGATAACTCTCTTGCCTTCTCTGACTCTTGGTCCAGAGGTTCGTAAATCCAAGATGAAGCGATAGCTTCATTGCTTCATGGTTGAAGGCAGTAATGGCTGACATGAAATTCAACCTATCACTGTGGATCCTAATTCATCCTCAAGTGCTCCAGTCTGATCTTGCTGTGCTAACTTTACATCCATCTTTTCTTTACAGGTACCTTCCTAGAAGACGTCAAACTCAGCCTTCAGCCATAAAGAAAATTAGTGACCTTACAGAAACCCATTCAAACCAATGAGTTCGAATTTCTTAATATGCATAGGGATGTTACCATTAAAAACAAATGGATCTTCTTCTATTGAGTCTGCCTATATTGACACAGAGATCTATCATACGTTAAGCAAAAGAAAAACCTTATGTGAATAGTAATGAAAGGTATGACATTTTCATTGTATGAAAATATACAGTGAATAATAGGTGAGCTGTACTTGATAGAATTAGTCCAGAGAGACTGCGGGGGGGGGGGGTGAGGATAATGAACTAGAGGATCAAGAACTAGAGGAACGAAACACAGAAAAAGGAGAAAGCTATAAAACATAAATAAAGAACCCTAAGCAAGAGGAAAAGTTGCAGCAGCTTAAAAAATATGTAAATGAAATATCGCTTGTTTTGAAACATAGAGGGGTGACAGACCCAGAAAAACAAATATCATATATACTCACTCATACGTGGTTTTTAGACATAAAGCAAAGAAAAACCAGACTACAATTTACAATCCCAGAGAACCTAGATAATAGCGAAGACCCTAAGAGAGACATACATGCATCTAATCTACATGGAAAGTAGAAAAAGACAGGATCTCCTGAGTAAACTGGGAGCACGGGGACCTTGGGAGAGGGTAGAAGTGGAGGAGAGATAAAGGGAAGGGAGCAGAAAAAATATATAGCTCAATAAAATCAATAAAAAATTGTAAAAAGAAGCATACAGGGGTGAAGCAGAATAATCACTGATTTTTGAAATTTGAGTATAATTATAAGCAAACAAGACCTCAAATAAATTGCTTAACTTTAACTAATTCATCTATGATTATATATCAGCATAGGGCATCTGGTGAAGGGTCACAAAAACACTTCAAATATGCCACAATTCTGTAAGCATAAAATTGCCAAAGAAAGACAGCTTGCATTAAAATACAAAAATGTAAGTCTCAACTGTGCACCGTAATCAAGAAGCCTACTGTAAACATAAAGAGAAAAAACATTAAAAGTAAGGGAACACAAAATAGAAGTTCAATTAGCAGAAAAATAAAGCTTCTGGAGTAAGTCATCCAAAGTAGATTTCAGAGAAAAGAATATTTCAAGGAGTAAAGGAAGTCCAAAGGGAATAACCAATAAAGAAACAGCACTTGTCGGCGTCTAAGTGTGGAATGCTCCTCACGCAAAAGCTTCAAGAGATGAAGGACACTCAGACTACAGAATTACAGACAAATGTTTCAATAGCCCCCATTCAAGAATAGACCAAGTAAGAAGAAAAACAGAAGCATAAAGACTGGAGCATCACTCGATTTCCAAACATCCTAACCAGATTCTTTTCAGTAGTACACGGACTGGTTACCAATACATACCACATTCTAGAGGATTAAACTGATACAAGTGATTTTAACATAATTCAAGTCATGCAAGCTATGTGTTCTCATCAAGGGAGAAGTAAATTGGAGTCCACATGATCCCTAGAAAGTTCTCAAATACCTGGAAACCAAATAATTTACTTCAATATTACCTAACTTGTCACAGAAGAAATCAATGAGAAAAAGACTTGAAAGTATTTTGAATAGAATAAAATTTAAGAGATAGCATTTAAATATTGGTGGATGCTGGTCGTGTACTTTTTATAGTGTCTACAAAACTTCAGACGGTACGGCTTTAAAAACACTGAGAGAATAGTATAAACAACTCCACAGCCAAAAAATCTGATGCTTTAGATGGAATAAACAAATTTCTTTTAAGACATGAACCATCAAAACTCACGGAAGAAGTAGATAAATCAAAAATCTATAAATAATCCTTTTGATGCAAAGTATCAAATGCTTCAAAAATCCTAACAATTTTACACAAACTCTTCCAGAAAATTGGAGAGGCAGAAACAGTTTGCAGTTAATTTATTCCAGAAAGCCAGCATGACCCTGATATTAAGGCTAGAAAACACTACAAAAAAGAAAACCATAGACCAGTGTCTCTCCTGAACATATGTAATAGTTGGTATTAACAAGCCATAGAGGACAGTACTTTGTGGCAGGTGTGGCTTTTCCTGGAATGCCAAAGAGGTTTAACATTAGAGATCAAACACTGTAATTGACCATATTATGAATTAAAGATGAAAAGAGTCCATGGGACCCTGGACAGACCCACAGGAAAGTCATCTGATGAGGATTGCATATATTCCTGACATCAAACCCTAAGCAAACAAAAACACTGAAGGAATCTCCAGAACTTGATGTCATCTTTAAAAACTATAATTAGCATCATAACTAATAATGAAATATGAATAATTTTTCTATAAGATAAAGAAAAAGTCCAAACACCTATTTTCATCATTTTTAGTCCACATTATACTGGAGGTCCCTGACAACAAATTACCAAACAAGAAGGGTGAGAAGCCATGCTTGTTAAAAAGAAGCAAAGTTATCTTTATTCACACGTGACAACATAATCTACATAAAAATTCTATGTAATAGAGAAATAGAACAAATGAGTGGGTTTTACGAAGTTGTAGTAAGATCAATGTACAAAAATTAACTTCATTTCTGTATGCTGGAAATGAACAAATGGGGTTAAAATGTAAAAAGCAAACCATTTGCAATGCCATAAAAACTGTTATGCTTAGATATGAATCTTACAAAGATATGAAAGACCTGTACACTGGAAACTATAAAGCATTGCTGAAATTTTTATTTTTTAAAAGAAGTAATGAAGCAGAAAGATCTGTGATGTCCATTAGTCAACACATATATTAAGATATCAGTTTGTCCTGAACGATTATACTTGAATTCCAGTAAAAATCTCAGCAGGAGGCTGCTAAAACTGCAAAGTTGATTCTAAACTTCTTTTTTGTTTTATTTTATTTTATTTTTAAAAATAATACCACTCAAAATTCCAACTTCCTCCCCTCCTCCCACTTCCCTCCTGCTCTCCCCCACCCTTTCCCCCACCCCCTCCAGTCCTAAGAGAGGGCAAGGCACCCTGCCCTGT